GGGAGTCAGTGATAGCATCAGTCCACACAGTTGATTGTGGTCAGTGAGGCTTGGAGTGGATCCTTCTTTACCAACACAGGAACATGTGTCCTCTGTGTGCTCTGTCAGCAGAGCTTTGGTCTCTGCCTGACATTTTGATGTGTTTGGCAGGAGAACTGCTGAACATGGCCACTGTAACAAGTGCATATCTTTCACTTCAGCTGGTTTGAGTTCAGCAAAACCCAATTTTGGAAATGTTCAGAATAGTTCTTTTCACGTCCCATCCAAGAGGCTTCTTCAATTCTAACTGACGGTGGGGAGCACTGAGAATAATATACTGTGGGAGGAACAAAAGAATTAGGGAAAAAACAAAAGATGACTCTGGTCCCTCCTGCTGGATGGATATGACCTGGATGACTGTGAAACTTAACAGATAAAACCCAGTTTGAAATGTTTGAAAGGTCCTGTAATTGTGAGTGAACTTTTACGTATACTGAGTGGCTCAGCCATACATGCACATAGTATTTCTGTGCACTAAAACATTTTGTTATACGTTGAGCTTTGTGTGCATTCAAGATTAATGTAACTTTCCCTCTTTTTGACACGTGGTCCCACCCATGTGTCAACCTAGCACAATATGGGAGTAAAGCTTTAGGAAAACAGTTCTGGCCATCAGATCCCAGCTGAACACTTTTGGCATGTGGGCCACCTGTAGAGATCCAAACTGGTTCCTCCTCAGCGGAGGTAAAGCTCTGCATGCCCTGTAAATCAGTGTGAAGAAAAGGGGAAGTGGAGACAGGGAGCAGCAGTGCAGCATGTGTAGTGCAGCATTCACGTGTGATATCAGAAGCACCGAGGTCATCAGGTCAGTGTGAGCAGCACACTCACACACAGGGATGTTCACAGGCCAGAGAACTTCTGTGAGAAACACTGTCATCTGAGAAGCATGCAAAGTTATTATTCCAACAGATCTGACAAAAAACCACCAACAAGGAAACAACGTCTGTGTTTCCACTCTGCATCAGAGTCATGAACATAGCAGAAAAGCAGAGCTGCTCAGTAACGAAGTAGAACTACTTAAGTACTGTACTTAAGTACCAAAATGCAGTATCTCTACTTTATTGGAGTAGATATTTTTCCCCCACTTCTACTTTTACTCCACTAAATATTTTTGATTAATTCAATACTTTTACTCTGATTGATTTTTCACAGGCTGAATTGTTACTCGTTACTGAAATGTAAACGTAATGATAGATAGCTCTGTGCCGGTTTGGGAAGCTGGCTCCTCTTTGGCGATTTGAACGATCAGGCATAGCCTATAACAAAAAAGTCTCCCGAAAGATTTTTAATTATGGCCTTCAAAAATTCCCCATCTAATCTGAAGAAGCATATCAAGGTAAGTTAAGAAATACAATGACATATAAGTTAGTAAATAAGTGCTAGTTCAGTTCTTCCTGTTCACTAAGGACGTAGCAGCTAACGTTAGCTAAAGCTAACCTAGCTGGCTAGCTGTAAGATAACGTTAGCTAAAGCTAACCTAGCTGGCTAGCTGTATACTACATGATAGCATAAAGGCTATGAAGGATTCTGACTGGAATAATAAATAATAGTAGATGAAGTGCTGTTGATTGCTAATGCAGATGTAGTTTTCTGTTTTTTGTAAACACCTGTATGGCCTTTCACACGTTTGAAATAATATAAACAATATCTTTAAAATTTTTGACTGCCTTTTTTAATACACTGTACATAGTACTTGTACTTTTACTTATACTTGTACTTTCAATACTTGAGTAGCAATTTTTAAAATACTTCTACTTGCAATACTTAAGTACAAAAAATTGAGTACTTTTGTACTTCCACTTAAGTATGGTGTTGAAAGAATACTTCTACTTTTACTCAAGTAAATTTTTTTATATAGTACTTTTACTTCTACTCCAGTACTTTATACATCTCTGCAGAAAAGTTGATAGAGAATGAGCAGACAGCAAAACCAAACAATGTGTCTGTAGCAGGATCACGTGATGCTGATCCACCTGAAAAGAAACAGAGGTGTGTCAGACACATCTGGGCTTAAAGTGCACAGCTGCTCCAGAACTGCAGCTCAGTCATGTGACCATGGTCCATCAGCTGTGTGGAGAAGAGTCAAGAAGATGAGCAAAACTACCAGTGACATTCGGCAGGTCAAAACCCACAGAAATGTTTATCTGAGCAGAAAGGAATGAAGGTTTCTGCTCCAGGAGAATGATAAGAACAGATACGAGGTCACAAGCTAATCACTCTCTTCCAAAGTGTAATGTGTGTGACTTGTTTATGAATGTTCAGAACCACAGAACAGTGTTGCTGCAAGGAACTTTCACAAGACCCCCAAAAAATCGGGCCTGAAATTAACAAAGTTTGGACAAGCTGGCACACATTACGTGTTTGAGCAACAATCCCTCTGTGTCTTCCACATTGCTTTCTGGATGGCATGCTAAAGAGAAGGTCATTCACAAAAGAACAGACTCAGATGGAAAGGGCCAGGACTTTCAGGCCTGAGATACTTTCTGAGCAATTTGTACAAAAGGTGCATGAATGTCCGAAAGCGAGCCTAAAATTCAAAATCAGCTTCAATTGTTCATTTAATTGAAGGTAAATACAGGAAAAAAAGAGATTGATATATGAATAAAACAAAAACTGTTTATCTGATAGGGCGTTGGTTTGGCTCAGCGTTATAGTTGAAGTTGCCGTGTCCTCGGCTGGTTGATTTAGACAAAACTCCACTTGTCTAGTTGACCTTTGTCCCTCATCCTTTTAACAGGAAAGAGGGGTGTGCACACAAGGAGTTCACACAACAGGGCCAAATAAAAAAAGAACAGTTCAGAGAAACTCAAAAGAGGTCCATTAACAACATGTCACCTGAGAAAACAATCCCTCTTTAACCGGAGCTTCCCCTCTCTCTTCACCTACAGCAGCTTTCTTTATTTGTGGCAGCTCTTTTACTTTAGTTCAATATTCTAATTTCCGATGGTAATTTTTCTACAGTTAAAAGTCAGATTCAGGGGTAATAATTACCGATTTACCTCCATCATCACGTTCTTCTTTTTTCTAAATTCAGAGATCTCAGCCTATTAGATTAAAGCAACAGATCTGTTTCAGGTTAAATAAACAAACATAAAACAAAACAACAACAGGACAAACAGAACATGCTTCCTTATAGGATTTGTAGGGTGACTATCGCACTCCAAATGAGTCACTGAGGGAAGGACGTAGGGCTCTGTATGACTCGCTGACTCTAATGATGAAACTTGGCTCCAATACTGGTTGAAGAGTGTTTATTTTTCTTCTTCTTGCATAATACACGTTGACAAGATTGTCTATTGAATATAAAGATACTTTGGCTATTGATTTGTTACTTTGCGGTCAACAGAAGATATCGGCCCCTATGGCAACCCTCTCTGTCACAAACAAAAGACAAACTCTGTGGGCAGACACAGGTGATAATTATCAGGCCATCATCCAAACCCAGCCACGCCCACACACACACACACACACACACACACACACAGACATATATCCAAACACTATCCCTCCCTCTTGTGTCCAGAGCTAAACGCATCCATGCCTCTACAGGATTCATTGGTGGGAATTAATTCCACAGTTATTTGACAATGCATTTTACTTAAATACATTTTGTCCTTAATTATTAATATGCTGACAGCCATAAAACATTCATTTGAAATTTCCAGAAACTATAGCCCAATTAGTTTCTTTCCTGCAGGTAGTTTTAAATTCACAATAATGTAACACCCATCTGGAGTTACACATATGATGGATCATTTTTTCGTTCAATAAAGCAGCCGTTTAATCAACATAATTTCAACTCAACTTAGGATGCGCCAAAAAAAACTCTTTTCCCTCCTAAAACTTTTTTTTTTTTAAAAGAATATATTTATTCATTTTCAATTTCACAGCAAGTAGACAAATATCCAATAGGCAATGGCTTAAACAAACCGACAAACAAACAAACAAAAGAAAGTAAAACACACACACAGCGGCTCAGCTACACATATACAGTCCCACATATGGAGGAAAAAATAAAAATAGAAAAAGTACAACAGCATGCTTTCCCTTTATGACCTTTCAGGAAATCCTTTTAACAAAATGGCTGATACATTCAGGTCAAGGTAGTTCAAATATGGTTCCCATACTTTATAAAATTGTTTCAATTTGGAGTGTATCATACATGTTAAATATTCCAAGGGTATCAACTCAAAAAGCACCCTATGCCAGCCTTTAACAGCTTGGTCTCTATTATTTATCCACTGCAATAAAATATTCTTCCTAGCTGAATATGTAAGAATACAAAACAGTCTCTGATTTTTTAACAGAACAGGCCTAGAATAAGAGACATTGGGTCCATCTGTAGTTTCATTCCTAATATTCTTTCAATTTCAGTTAAGATATTAGACCAAGGGCGGCACGGTGGTGTGGTGGTTAGCACTGTCGCCTCCCAGCAAGAAGGTTCTGGGTTCGAATCCCGGGGGAACCAGGGCCTTTCTGGGTGGAGTTTGCATGTCCTTCTCTACCCAGATAAACCACACATCCCCACCCTGTCTGCTCCAGTCGGCCTCCCTGTTGACAAGGGGGGATTTTTTTGGAAACTACAGCAACATTCTGAATCCATTTTCTTGTCCACCAGCAGCCATTGAGGAGAAACCCCGCCCCACCGTTCCCAGCCAAGGAGACACAATAGAGCTGGCCTGACTAGCAGGACAAGGAAACCATGGGGAAGATTGCTAAGCCAACAAGCCTGGTGGACCGCTCCCGCACTGGCAGACACACTGGCTCTGGTTTCTCTTCATCACCATTTCCAGCGATGTCCAGTGGAGGTGTCCATCAGGCAGCCAGGGAGGCTGGCCTGCGCAATTGTGTGAGGTTCGTTTGGAAGGAGACGGCGGTTGGAGGATGGGATTGGTTTGTTAAGACGGTATTGATCGACGGGCTCATGGTGGACCCAGGTCCACCATGTCTTCTGCCTGCAGTGGAATCCTTTCGACAACGGCTACGATGTTATGCTGCACAGCCAGGTTGCGTACGACGGTTTGCTAATGACTTGCAAGGCCAAGGCAGAGTCTGTTCCATTTTCCCTTTTCAAGGTGGAGCCTTTGGGACAGAGGAATGTGTGGGTCGTCACGGTGCACATGTACAACCCGTATGTGAGCGACGCAGCAGTGGCTATTTTTCTGGGAAGGTATGGGAAGGTGGACAAACCGGTGAAATACCTGAGGACAATTACGGTATTTGGTCTTTGACACCCTCCTGCCTATTTTTCACTCGGAGGGGAAAGGGTTTTTTTGTTTTACTCGGGTCAACCGAGTTTTTTTAAGCAGTGTCGCTCTTTTGGACATTTGGCGGCTGGCTGCACGCTGATCCGGAACTGTGGAGGGGAGGGACATGGAGCAACCTCATGCAGTGCACCAAAAACCTGCAATGGGTATGGAAAAACAGGCCACCTTTTTCGGGTCTGCCCTTCTAGTGGCCGCACGTATGCAGCTGTGGCAGGGGAGAGTCTGGGCCCAAACCTGGGACCTTTGGTGGAGGAACTGCAGGAGGTCCAGGGGGTGGAGGGTGACTTCCCAGCAGGAAGGCTGCTGAAGCTGATCCAGGTGCGGAGCCATTCCGGCTGATGGGGCCGAGGACACGGTGGAATAATTACCGGGCTATCTGGGTGAGGGAGTGCTGGTAGGCCTGGGGGACTCTCTGCCCATGGAAGGGTCCTGGGCGGACTGGGAGAGGAGTTCGGACAGTGGGGAGTCAGCCGGGGCTGTTACTGGAGGGGCGAGGAGGAGAAGGACGTCCTCAGGAGGGGATCAGCCAGAACTGTCGCCAGAGCCTGGTCAGCCAGGGCAGGAGGATAAAGTGGATGCGGGCCGGACAACATGCAGAGGCTCAACCCAATGGGGCCCCTTTGTTGCTGTCGGGCCGCTATGACATCCTCACCGGGGATTCGGGAGAAGGGGAGTCCAGTGGACCGGTGGCTGTAAAGGCTGGTCCTGTGGAGGGCTCCAACATGGTGACTCTGGTGGATGGCTCTGGGG